CTAAGTACCTACTATATGGGTACTTTGGACCCTTTGGGTTCAGCTTCAGGGGAAGGTTGCGGCCCGGAGCTTCCTAAACCTTACGCCGATGCTCTTCTTAGTAGCTGAGTTCATAAGCCCCCCAAAGTGTGCACTTTTATTTTTGTAGTGGGTAATTTTATCCCCAAAAGTGTAAAGTGTAAACACCCAGCTACTAAGTCTTCATCAAAGGCAGGGTGCCAACAATGCCCCCAAAACCCGGAACCCTAGGCCCTAAACCGTCTACTTTACTTGGAGGGTCGGGGAACTTAGTAACTAGTTTTTTTAGAGACTTATAAGTACCATAAGCCCAATTAGGATCCCTTTTAAGGCACCTATAACTCTACTTATTACCTACTTATTAAGTCCGCCCGACCTTCCAAGTAGGGACCATGCCATAAACTCAGGGTCCATGTATCCATATCAGTATACTTTGGCCCTAAACTACCTATATAGGGACGGTTTAACGCTTCAAACGTACTACATGATCTAGGATACCCAGTAACCTAAGAATAAAAAGGCCTCTCTTTTTGGTATCGGGTAACTTTATAAGGAACCTAGGACTACAAAAAGTGAATAAGGGTACTACTGGGCATCCTAGCCTATATAGGGACGGTTTAACGCTTCAAATGTACTACATGATCACATGTCTTCTTGAAGCAAAAGAATAAAGCGGTCTCTGAGCTTAACTTCGTGTGAACATGAACTTCTCGTAGTTCATGTCCAGGCTTAGTAGTCAGAACAGGACTCATGGATGCGCCGTAGTACGATCGCGCGAGGAATACCAGGGGGGTAGTATGCTTAATCACCATACTGCAATTGAGGGCTGCTGGGGGGTTGCATACCCTAAGGGTCCATGTAGTAATATAGTATATACATTGGCCTTAAAGTACTTACTATATAGGTACATTGGGCCCAAAGTATATGCTATTTGGGTACATGGACCCTTAGGGATAGAAAGGTTGGATGTGGTGTAGCCTACACCCAAATTAGTACACCCATGGCACTTTTTCAACGGCCTTGTTGAGTACGTTTGTGCCGCAGGATTTGCAAGCAGCAGTGCACCGGGAGAAAAGATAAGTATACTAATGGTTGAGGTCCTTTACTGCTTCAAGTTTAGGCACTGAGGTACTTGCACATTTCGGACACCTTCATCTGACATACTTTTTATAGTGGTACATTGGTGTGCATATGCGGAGTGTCCTGTGAAGGATACTAGGAAGTTAACTCGTAGTAGTACTTCATGTGCTGTATTACATTTTAGTAGTTTTGCCTTTGGTGCAACTCCCGAAACCTGAAAGCGCCAAGCCACAAACCCCAAATCGCTGGACACGCATGCAGCGCCAGTTTGGTGGCAGACTACTGCAATTACACCCCATCACTTAGGACTCATACCACGAAGCAAGCCAAGTCCTCTCCTTCAGAGATTCCGGACCCTAGCCCCTCAGGCTCCATGCACCCAGAAGGTATATACTGAGGCCTTAAAGTATCTATACAGGAACCCAGTCAAGGCTTAAGTATATAGGTACTGTACAGCCACGTGGAGCGAAAATGGCGCCTTAGGGGAACCTACCTTCGTCCTACTTGAAGGGTCATGACACTTAGTAAGTGAAGTTATAAGTACCTTAATGTGGTTTAGTCAATATATAACTATCGTTACCTTATATAACCTTAGTTACTAGATCCAAAGTTCCTTCATCCCGAAAGGCTCAGCAGTGTTGTAGTAGCCTCCTGGATCTGAACTCCCCAACACCTTGGAAGGCTAGCCAATATAGCAGCTTAGTTGCTGAGTTCATAAGCCCCAAAACGTGTACGCTTTAAGTTTTATCGTGGGTAACATTATCCCCCAAAAGTGCAAAGTGTATCCACTCAGCTACTAAGGTTGAAACCAAAAAAATGGAAACCCAATAGCGTGCACCCTCAACAGCGATATACAGGGAATGCCAGCACTATTGGTCCTTAATCCGGTTCCCAACTTTTGGGGTTCACGAAAAGCCCCGAAACCTGTTTGAAGGATTACGCTCATACCGATACCGCAATGTGGCGGCCTTAATAATTCCTAGACGGCCTTGTACACTATAGTACTATGAAGGAAGCCTGACGAACAATGTTGGTAAGTAATTGGAACCCCCACATCAGAAGCCTCGTGATAGCCGTTTCAAACAAACTCTACAAGAACCCTGCAAACGAAAGTCTATTCCAATTGTTGAAGGCCCCAAAAGTGCAAGGCCAAGCGACGATCCTAAACAGATTCAGGCCTGGAAAGTTGGACACCTGACGGCTCCGGACCAGAGCAGTAAAGCTTGGGGCTTGGAGTTTGATTGCCTAGGGCTAGGATGCCCAGTAACCTAGGAATAAAAAGGACTCCCTTTTTGGTATTGGGTAACTTTATAAGGAACCTAGGACTACAAAAAGGGAATAAGGGTACTACTGGGCATCCTAGTAGGGTGTAGGGCTTAGGGCTCAGAGAGCAAGGAATTCCTTCATCTAGAGGCTTTCACGGGAATGCGTGAAGCTACAAAAAGGGAATAAGGGTACTACTGGGCATCCTAGTAGGGTGTAGGGCTTAGGGCTCAGAGAGCAAGGAATTCCTTTATCTAGAGGCTTTCACAGGGATGCGTGGAGGCTTTGTAATGTAGGAACTAAGATTTTTTTATATAAGGAACCCTAGTAAAGGCCCACGATTTCTTAATCAGGTTCCTACAATTAAGGCTTTATAGGAACTCATAGAGGCTTGAAAGCATCCTGAATGCCAGGGTTTACCTCAAACTGGATGTAGGTTCTACTTATCTAACGACTTCTTGTTGGCGATTTAAAGCCTCGGGATTTGTCTGGTGGTGTTAGGGTTGCGGGTGTTAGGGTTAATCTCCGGGTCCATTATCAAGTTAACTAGCTATCATGCAACCCTCCTTCATCCAAAACTTTACAACCCCTAGAAAACAATACATGTTGCAGAGTGCAACACGTATCGGCCTACCTGCGAGTGTTGAAACAAACACGGTACTCCGATATTCGATACAACATGGCCGTCATTTTACGCAGGCGGTCAAACTTTCCTACCCAATGACGGCGTCCTTTGGACATTGAGGGGCCGCCGAACCCCAAAACCTCAACACAAGTCCGTACCCGACCCAACCGCAGTTACAGAGAAGGGAACATAGGTGCGAGAATTACAAGGCAAACAACGGCCTCATGTTTGCTGTGGACTTTAGAACCCAAGCGCCCTAAACCCTAAACTCTAAAGCCCTTAACAACCCTAAACCTCAAAGCCCCAAAAACTTTGAGGCCAAAAGCCCCATGGTCTGACCCTCTTGAAAGCATCTTTATACAAACCGTATAAGCCTCTGTAAAGATCCAACCGAAATCCTTTGAAACCCGTATACTTGGAGAGTCGTGGGACTTTGTAAGTGTGTGTATTTTACAGACTTATAAGTATCCTAACCCTTATTAGGATCCCTTTTTTGTTATGCTAATTCGGTTGATGATATACATCCTGCATTACCCTAAGGACCCTAAACTATGGGAATTATGGTATATTCCTTATTATGGGAAATGCAGGATTGATATCATCAACCGTTATACATCTACTTCTTACCTACTTGCCAAGTCCCCCGACCCTCCAGGTAAACCCCGTCTGGGCCGCTAGGAGTATCCTACGGCTTTTGGGCCAAATAGGTAATTCTTATTATAAGTATTATTATGCTTGTACATATATATATATATATATATATATATATATACATTTACTATATATATATATATACATATTTATCGCCCTTGATATGAGCCCTAGTATAGACTGTTACAGCGTGGAGGCAGTACCCAACCGAACTCCTATAAACCTGAATCCTACCTGCGGGGTCGGAGGATTTAGTAAGGACGATGTATAAATCCCCCAGAAGGGATCCTAGCTGGGGTTACGATACCTTACTATCCCGACACCCTAACCCTTATAGATCGCTTTACTACTGAACTAGAACAACCAAAACTTAAAAAAATATCTCTAAGTACCCCTAAGTTTAAAGGAACCCTTAAAGAACCTTAAACCCTAAAAGCCTGAGCCCTAACCCCCAATCCCTACACCCTAATCCTTACAGATCCCTTTAAAGGAACCCTTAATGAAACTTAAACCCTAAAAGCCTAAGCCCTAACCCCCAATCCCCACACCCTACTCCTTACAGATCCCTTTAAAGGAACCCGCAATGAAACTAAAACCCTAAAAGCCTAAGCCCTAACCCCCAATCCCTACACCCTAACCCTTATAGATCCCTTTAAAGGAACCCTTAATGAAACTTAAACCCTAGAAGCCTAAGCCCTAACCCCCAATCCCCACACCCTAACCTTACAGATCCCTTTAAAGGAACCCGCAATGAATGAAACCCTTAAGATCCCTTTAAAGGAACCCTTAAACCTTATAGATCCCTTTAAAGGAACCCTAAATGAAACCTTATAGATCCCTTTAAAGGAACCCTAAATGAAACCTAAATCACCGCCTCGGGATCGGCTCTGGCTTCGCACAAGATCTTCACGCCGTCGACGTGGTCGGAGGAGCAAGCCCAGTGCCTCGCGGTGTGTTGTAGGGTTACCCAAGGGTCCAAAGGACCCAATAATCAGGTACTCGGTGTTAGGATAATAGTTACGTAGGTTAGGGTTTTGGAGAGTATCTGATTATTAGGTACTTGGACCCTTGGGGGTTATTTTAAAAGGATCTACAAGGGTTCCGTTAAAGGGATCCTAAGCCTTATGGTCTCGGGATTTAGGGCATTGGGTTTAGACTTCATGGTTTAGAGTGGCCCTAAGGCTCCAAGTACCTGGAGCCTTAGGGTTTAGGATTGGGGTGCTGCGGTTTAGACATGGTTGAGAATGCTTGTTTGTTGTTCTTTCCACCATCACTCACATCACATGATTGTCAGAAACGGCACCACTTGTCCAAGCATCATGAACTCCTTGCGCCGCGATAAAGATCCCCCCAACCAAAGACGTTAGGCAGACTGGCCACCGACGGGCGTGACCGCCATGTCCTTCCTTGTGCTAGGGTTTAGGTTTTAGGGGTTTAGGCGAAACAAAAACCTCCAAAGTGGAAACAACTGCATCCTGCAGAGACCGTCTGAGGTACAAATGAAAGCATTGAATCCAACGACCGGCAGTCTAATTAAGAGGCGAGGAGTCTCCAACCAACAAATTCAACCTGAAACCCTAAACCATTGAAAACCAGGTGGGCAGTTGGCTAATCTGAGTCCCTTTTGGGATCCTAAGACTAGTACGGCACCCCTGTCAAAAAAGGACCCACATGTACAACATAATTACAGCCCAGGCCACTCCCATAGCTTGGGAATCGGACCCTGCGAGCGACACGTAAATAAAATAGTTCCGACTGTGGAGCATTGAAAGCCTAACAACCTTGAACCAAATGGGGATAGGGTGTTGTGCCAAACGAGGTCCCAAGCGCAGCGGAACGCTGTAGTGGGCATCCACCGCCCTTGGTAGAGGAGGTTAGTGAGGAGGGTGCTTTCTTTTGAAAGACCCTTACAAACAAGTCGGCCATAAACCCTCATTGCGCATTATAAGGCTGTGTAAAAAAATGCTTTGAGGGGAAGTTTGCTAATTGTCGAAAGAGTAGGTTCCAGAGTGGTAAGGGTTAACAAGTGGCCTGAGTCATGTCACGGTACAGTAGACCCTAAACCCTGAACCCTACTTCTGATCCAGGGGCCCGAATAATGCTAGCATAGGGTTTCGAGCTACATCCAAGTATATTCTAGAAAACATCCACGAAAACAGAGTTCAGGGGGTTTAGGGGGTTTAGGCTTTTGGGTTTCGGTTTTAGGGTTATAATGTTCTCAATAGTCCGACCCCTAGATTTCTCTCTCCTCCTATAGCCCAAAGCCAGAAAACTTCAAAGCTTATATGCATTGTCAAAGCCATAGAAGTGAACCCACACTTCAAAAACAAGTAACGTTCTGCTGTAAGCTTCGCAAGCATACCATAACATTAACACTTCTTCTGATCCCTATGCCACGTTTTAGAGTCTAGGGGGTTAAGGGGGTTTAGGAACACCAAGAGATCTCTTACAGAAAGAAACCTCAGAGGATCCCTTTCACAAGGACATTGAAGATCTTGAAGGAACGTGTAGAGAAGCACACGCCCTCGAAAACCCTCCTACACCATGGCAGGCGCGAGGCATGCAATCCGCTCGTGCGTCGATGAGCACCTGCCCAGAATTTTCTTTTCAGTTGCAAGCTCACAGGTTCCTTCACAACTAGGACAAGGTACTAGAATACACCACAGTAGCTGGTACGACTATAGTCAGGAACCTAGAACCTAGGACAAAACAACCTGTAAGTATGCAGAGCTCTGTACTACGTAGTATATACTTGGGCCTTGCGCACTGTATACTTTGTAGGTTCATGGGTTGAATGCGTTGGGTTTTCATTGGGCCATGTAACCTAATGAGAGTATGGCTTTTGAAGCTTTTGAACCTTTAACCATTTTACACCGGGTTCGTAAGGTTGTACTTACAGTACGAGCAGCATTGAACTGCCAAGGAAGATAGGGCAGCTGATTGCTGAATAGGAACACTTCTCCACTACAAGATAAGCCACCAGTATAGTCTTGGGAGATCCCACTAGTTATGCGAAACGATAGCTTAGAACGCCAAGACCAACACAAACTACCTAAGAGGCCGAAGATTGCATTCTCCTTTCGCAGGATATGGGAAAAGCAAAAGCGCTGGTTTAAGTAATGGAGGTCTTAACATAGGAACGTGAATCGTACTAAAAAGGGTGGCAGGCTCATGCGATAAAGAAATAGAATACCGAGAATCCGTTGTTTGTCCAGCATCCTAGGAAAACTTAACTAAAGATTCACCTTTGAGATTACATGGGGGATACTTGGAGGGTCGGGGGACTTAGTAAGTAGATAATCAGTAGACTTATAAGTACCCTAAAAGGGATCCTAATGGGGGGTGTGGTACTTAAAAGTCTCCAAAATAACTAGTTACTAAGTTCCCCAACCCTCCAAGTACTGCTAAGAACCGTATTGGTAACTGAGTCAGGTAGCCATAGGGACCGAAATATTAGCAGAATTATCCTGTTGTAGCCTGTTCAGATGTCTCAAAGAGTAACTCCGAAAGACCTGGTCCAGGTATTCAGGCGGCTTTCATAGCAACAGTCAACAACAGTCATAATATTGTTAAACCCTAGAGCATGGAGAGCAAACTACAACCCCAAGCCCTGAAGCACTAAACATCAAACCCCAAAATCCCTCAACCCTAAACCCAAACCCCTAAACCCTAAACCCCTAAACCCTAAACCCCTAAAACCTAAACCCCTAAGCCCTAAACCCCTCAACCCCCAAAACCCTAAAACCCTCAAGCTCAAGCCTGGAACCCCTGAACCGAAAGCCCTTAAAGGAATCCTTTAAGGGAACCATACTCCGGAAACCTGCTATAGTAGCTTAAAGGGAACCCCAACTATGGAGCCCTAGTATAGTACCCTAAAATAAACTCTATTGCAGATCCCTACTACATATAGTACCCTTAATGGGAACCCTAGTATACGACGCGACTATAGCACTCTCAAAGGAACCCCATTGCCATTATAGCCCTACTACGGTGCCCTAAACGGCCCCAAAATCCCAAACCCTGGAAGCCCTTTCCTCCATCACGTTGTTGTGACGAAAGTGTGCAGCTAGGCCCAGGACGGACAACTTCCTCAGCCATTTAGGGGGTAATCGCTAAAGAGGCTTTACAAGGGTCTTTTGCGTTTTTTCGGGAAGTCATACCGAAAGCCTCCCCTGAATCTTTCCTGGCAGCTGAATGCAATACGAGATCTGGGTGGTCGGAACGGGATCGGGGGTATGTTACAGTAGCCATAGCGACTAGAAGGAGGTGTTGCTACCGACTGTGGCGGTGCTGTCGCAGTTGTTCCTGGTGTTGCTGCTTCACCACCTACTTGTCGGGTATCATGGGGAACTAAAGGTTAACTTTTTTGGGTATAGAGGGAGTATATAGGGACTAATTATACTACCCAATAAAGGTTAAAGGTTACCTACTCTCTTACTAAGCGCCCCTTATAGAACCCTCCAAGATCTTAAAGGAACCCCCTAAGGGTACCCTATACTACCCAAAAAAGGTTAAAGGTTACCTACTCTACTACTTCGGACGACGTAAAGGAGCGACCTCATGGGGTTTCAACAGCACCCAGAACTTCCAATATTCCTTGATTAAGGGGTAGACCTTAAATCATGCTAGGTATGGTACTACAGTTTCATAAGCAAGATTAGGTATTACCAAGGCATATTGCAAGGAGCCATAAAGGCACTGCGTACTCTCTGAACCCTAAACCAGGGTTAAACCCGAAACCCTAAGCCCTACTACAAGGGCCTCAATCATTAGAACAGGGTTCCCTTAAAGGGTTCTTTTGTCGGGTTGGATAAGGGATCTACAGTAGGGTTCTATGATATCCAAGCATCCGGCGGCTGGGTGCTTGGACTTTAGAAGCCGTACAACCTGATACCCTCCACACCCAGTCCTACACCCGCAATTAAACAGCACTTTTTGTGTAGGTTCTCATTGCAAACTCACATAGACTTTATATGGACCCTGCAAAATCATGTAGTTCCAGGCAGTCTAAGCTGCGTTACTCGATTTGGCGTTTTGGGTTCTTGCTCGGCCAGAAAACCTGAACCCTGGTGTAAGGTTTGATCCATAGCCGATGACACTAATCCTCAGGCTCCCTGTACTCCCATAGTACATACTATTTGGGAGTTTCCGGAAATTAGGGGTACCTTCATTTTTTTTGGGGGGTCCTTATAATTATAATAAGGATCCTACAATTTAAAGCACCATATTAGGGTCCCCTATGCTCGGAAATCCCTATTATTTAGGTACACGAACCCTTAGGGTGGACTTAGAAGTGCCCCCCAAAGGCATCCTAATTGGGGGCTATGGTACTTATAGGTATTTTAAGAGACTATGGTAGAACATGGAGGCTTTCTTGGAGGGCTTCGTAAGTTTGAGGGTTTAGGGGCTTAGGGGCTTAGGGTTTAGGGGCTTAGGGTTCAGGGGATTAGAGGCTTAGGGTTTAGGGGTTTAGGGGTTAAGGGTTAGGCGGTTCGGGGTTTAGGGGTTTTGGGCGGGTGATGGCCCTTGAATGAAGATACCCGTCTCCTACCAAGGCATTTCCTGGAACCCCTGAAGAAGGCTTTAGGGTTGAGGGTTTAGGGTTTAGGTCTCCTTAAATTCAGGAAACCTCCGAAAAGCACTCGAAGGATGCTTCCTTCCAAGAGGGTCCAGGGTTTAGGGTCTACTTCCATCTGGTGCGGGTTGTGCGGTCTAGCGTCGGCGGTAGTAAAAGATCTCGCTTGTGCTTTGTGATCTTGTCATTGGGGTCGGCTCTCTGTGCCAGCAGGGAAGTCACCAGAAATGCGCTTCCCGACATGGCAGCGTAGCACCTCAGGTACTTAAAGGGTCATGGGACTTAGTAACTGGGGTTACAATTGGGGTAACTTTGCCTTTGGTAGCTTCTAACCCCAGTTAGGGTACGTATAACCCTACTTACTAAGTCCCATGATCCTCCAAGCACAGGTTGTCGCTTCTCAAATTATGGCGCCTCGCTTCAGGTTCAGGTTCAGGGTTTAGGGTGCATGCCGAGATTATGTACTTGGAGGGTCGGGGGACTTAGTAAGTAGGTAGTAAGTAGACTTGTAAGTACCCTAAAAAGGATCCTAAATGGGGTTATGGCTATGGTACTTATAAGTCTCCCAAATAACTAGTTACTGAGTCCGACCCTCCAAGTAGGGTTTGGGAATCCTTGCAATGAGGATCCTACCCTGTGGGTTCGCTCTTTTGGGGTCGCCCGCTTCGTTGAAGCTCCCAAACGTTGAGGTCAAGGACTTATCCAAAGGGTCCTAGGTACTGTTATGGGGGATACTTCCCCAAATCATGATAGCAATTCCTAACATGGAAACCCTACATTCTACTGTATGGGTACTTTGGGCCCTTTGGGTTAAGGCACCTGTGGATTGGGGTTCCAGCATGTTGCAGCATAGCCGGAACCTATCGGACGGCTCGAGGGGTTCAGGGCTCCGGCTGGAGATAGCAATTCCACTTTAGGACATGTAGATAAGGCTATGTTCGGTTATGTAAGCTTGCACGTTGGGACCTTTCTGGTAGGATTTTTTTTTGGGGGGTGGTGAGTCCCAAACGCTGAGTTCAAGGACTGAACCTACTGCTCGTCGAAGGTGCGCAGAAAGACGAGGGATCCTTTTACGAATGCAGCAAAAAACACCAAAAGCCCAAATCATCGATAAAGAAGCCGAAATAAGCACAGTTTACGGTTTAGGGTTTAGGGATTTTTTTAGGGTTTAGGGATTAGGGTTTAGTTTCTAAACACAGAGTCTGGTGTGCTAAATGCAAGGAACCTATGAAGCCCTTTAATAAAGCCATGCCAACACCCTGCAATGAACAAAGTCTTACACAAGCCCGTAGAAAACAGATGATATAACACGGCAAATATAGGGGGCCTGAATATTTAAAATGGGGTTGGGGGGGCCCATTATACTATAATCATAATAAGGAACCCCCAACATAGTCTTGGTAATTATTATAGGCCCCTATCCAAAACCCTAAACCCTATAAATCCCTTGTGAACCCTTTAAAGGAGCCCTTAAGGATGCCCTTTAAGCAACTATTGTAACAGGGCAAGGCGCAGAGGTGTCCATCCAGCCTTATCGCGCTCTGTGATGCTGAAAAATCCGTTCTCGTGCAGGAACCGCTCCACGACGCAGGCTTGCCTGCGGCAGTTTAGGACCGTCGGAATTAATATCAAGCTTATATTGCTGCGGGGTCTGGGCTTCAACTAACCAGAGCTAGACATTGAGGCACTAGCCCTAAACCTTGTCCACCAAACCCTTCAACCTAGACTTTGGCGACTAAGGTCCCAGCAGCATACACCGCTCTTCCGAACAAAACTGAATGTGGCCCCAATCCAGTGGTACTTGGATGGTCGGTGCATTTTTCAAGTATGTAAGAAGTAGACTTATAGGTATCCGGAAAGGGATCCTAATTCGAGTTATGATGCTTCTAAATTCATGAACAAAAACCACAAGGTTGGGATATCCCATAACCCTTTTTGTAAACAAAGAAGTAAGGTAGGGATATCCCAGCTTGAAAGGTTATCTTTGGGTGCTTTTTCTTACTTCCCAAACCCAAAGCTAGACCCTCCTGAAACCCCAGTTCATACCATAGACCGCCGAGTGACGGATCCGTGATGGGATCGGCAGTGGGTCGAAAGTCTGGGACCAACCTAGGCTTGACAGATGCGGAACATCCTGGTTGCCTAGTGCTACGTACCCGGAGCTCTTCGAACGCGGATGAGGCTCTGCCGCGCTCTAAGCCTTGAACCCTAAGCCCAACAAGAAACCAAGAACGCCAGCAAAACCGTAAGCCGCCTACAAAATCCCAGAACATGTAAACCGAATCTTCAAAAGACACACACAGACACAACAAAGGAAACAACAACACACACAGAGACAAAGCACAGTTAAACCTGAAGTAAGCGAAAAGCAAAAATGGAGGGCCCAGGCACCCTTCGAGTGGACCCTTTCCCAAGTTCGCGAGGCAGCAGGCCTGCGCGGGATTCCGCGCAGGCGCAGGCCACTTTTGGGGTTTGGGGACTTCCTTAATGGGTTTGGGGAGTTTAGGGGACTTCCTTAGTGGGTTCAGGGCTCAGTGTTTTGTTGCAGGGTCTTCCTTCATGGGTTTGGGTTCCGGGTTAGGATCTTCGAATGGTGTGGGCAGTATATGGAGTATATGGGACTTTCCGAAAATAGGAGTCAGTAACATAGTACCCTAAATAGTAGGATCCCTTTTATAAGGACCCCCAAGATAAGGTACGCCCCAATTTTCGGAAACTCCCCTACATGACGCCATCAAGCTTCCCAAGGCTCGGCGATGCCATCACTCTTGGCTTTACAGTAGGGTAGGGCTGAATGATTGGAGTAGGTTTGGTGTATACTGTACTCGCAACCAAAGTATATGGGGACGATAAGGGGAGGCGTACACGGTCGTGCGGCGGCCTTCATGACTAGATCAAGTGGGTATGTCATACTGTTGATGATATAAATCCTGCACTACCTTAAGGACCCTAAACTATGGGAATTATGGTATGTTCCTTATTATGGGTCATGCAGGATTTATATTATCAACCGTAGGTTGTACACTGCCAGGGGTAAGATATAAAAGGCCCTCCGACCCAAGCCTCTTGCGTATTCAGGAGAAAGCGGTACTTGGGCAGATCGTGCTGCTCCAGGTAATACTGCAACTTCCTCGCAGCAAGCCACAGCAACAACCCTGAGAATGCCATAGATCGAACAAATATGTGCACCCCCCCCTCACCTTGCTGAATTCACCAGATGCGTATCTGGAAACAGTCCTATCTTTGTCCATAGCTTACTTCCCAACTTGGAAACAAGGTTAGAAGCGTTCATCAAGGTACAGTTGTGGCGTCCTATTCTTTTCGATGAAGGTAGACCCAAACAAGTACGGATATCAAGCCCCAAATCCTACACCCAATTTGCAACGAAGTTAGACCTTCCCATGCACCTTTTTTCTCAGACCCTGTCAGTTCAACCCTAAAACATCAACGGTGGCCCTTCTGAATGAGGAGACCCGACAACTATCGAAGGGCACTCGGCTCAGTTATGGACCGGTCCCCCGGACCCCGGCATGATACGGTTTAGGGTTGAGGAGTTTAGGGTTTAGGGTTCAGAAAGGGCTACCATCCAGAAAGGGCTACCTCTTAGGGTTAGGGTTTAGGGTTGAGGGGTTTAGGGTTCAGGGGTTAAAGGGTTTATACGGCATACCAGGTCCCGTGCTGACTGGTCATAACCGGCAATAGTATCAGAACCCGTTCAATGGATGCCAAACACCCAAACAATACTATGAGTTACTTTGAAGCCCTGGTTTAGGGCTTAATTCGCTGTCTCGGGTTCATACACACACAATGTGACAAGCAGAGTTGCCGTAAAAAAGCCCAGCAAGTCTCAAGTTCAACTCAAGCCCTAAACCCTAAACCCCTAAACCCTAAACCCTCAAGCAAGGGCATCCAATAAGCCCTAGGTATCTTCGAATTATGTCGTCGCCTCCACACTAGCTGCAAGATCACCCGGGCAATGCGAAGGCGGTCGCTCTCCTTCACCATGAGCATTAGAATTGTGGTTTCGGGTCTGGCCCCGGGGTGTGCAGAAGAGAACTTGCTTGGAGGGTCGGGGGACTTAGTAACTAGATATTTTAAAGACTTATAAGTACCATTACCCCCAATGAGGATCCCTCTTAGGGTACTTATAAGTCTACTTACTACCGACTTACTAAGTCCCCCGACCCTCCAAGTTGAGTTCAGCCCTACAGCTCCATGTGCATACTTTAGGCCTCAAGCATGGGGGGTTCCTATATAGGTACGCTAAGGACTAAGTATATACTGAGCCCTTAACACTAAACATAGGTACGTGGAGCCTGTGAGCAGAGCCGAGGAATGAGCCAGCGCACCTAAACTCTTGGCTTGCGTAGGGTTTACCCTTACCCAAAGGCTCCTTCCCGTATAGGGACCCCTTTAAGGCCTAAGTACCTACTATATGGGTACATGGAGTCTTAGGGTTATTTTAATAAATGCTTCTGAACTCCCTTTCCGCACTGAGTTCCCTAAGGGCCCAGGCATCCAACTCAGCATACTTTGATCCTAAAGTACGGATATGGGAGTTTCCGAAAATTAGGGGGACCTTATTTTGGGGTCCTTATAATAAGGATCCTACTATTTAGGATACTGTCTTAAGAAGCCAATTCGTCACGAGTGACGTAGCTCCTACCATGTCATACAGAGATTGTGCCCTCAAAACTCGTCTCTGAGTTTGCCCATAACCAACCAGACACCGTGCAAATCCTCAGAGAAAGCGCTCCAAAGGAACCCCTTGAGAGGAACCTCATGGAGCCCCTAGAGAACCCGAGAGGGCCCATAAAGAACCCTAAACCCTGAACCCTGAAGGGGCCCATAAAGAACCCTAAACCCTGAACCCTGAGAGGGCCCATAAAGAACCCTAAACCCTGAACCTTAAACCCCCAAGGCGGCCATAGAAAGCCCATCGGCCTCTGTGAAGAAGCCCTTTCCAGGTGCATCCAGGTGCCTTCGAGTGTTGGATATCCTTGGCGATGCTGAATGTGGAGTGTAGGATTTAGGGTTTAGGCCGATTTAGGGTTTAGGGCTAGGGTTTAGGGTTGTAGGGGTTTAGGGGTTAGGGGATAATGTAGAGTTTAGGGTTGCAGGGTCGGGGGAGTTAGTAAATAGCTACTCGATAGCCTTATAAGTACCATTATTCAGGCCCCTCTTGGGGTACTTATAAGTCTACTTGTTACCTATTTACCAAGTCCCCGGACCCTCCCAAGTGAAGTACAGTTGAAGCCCAAAGTTGGAAACCCAATAGCCTCAATCCTTAAGAGCAATGTATCGGGAATCCGGGCACTATTTGGCCTTAATCCGGTTTCCAACTTAATCGGGTGTACTTGGAGGTTCCTGGGTAATTATTGGTGGGGTTATAAGTGCGTAGGATAACTATAGTTATAACCAATACTTGGCTGACTTCTGAACCCATGCTAAAAGATAAACTGTTAGCCTCCTTATCATGCTTCATATAGACGCCCGTTAAAGTCCTAAGAGCCAACCAGAAGAATGCCAAGAATATTAGGGGACTGATAACCCCACTTATAGCTACAATGAGCCTCCAAGTACTGCAAGTCCCCGGACCCTGCAAGTGGATTAGCAAAGGTCGGATCGGCCTCAAGGGAGTCTCAAGACTGGGAAATGTACTTGGAGCGTCGGGGGACTTAGTAGCTAGTTATTTTGGAGACTTATAAGTATCATAACCCGAATTAGGATCCCTTTTAGGGTACCTAAAAGTCTACTTACTACCTACTTACTAAGTCCCCCGACCCCCCAAGTATAGTAATGTAGGAACCTGATTAAGAAACCTTGGGCCTTCTTTTAGAGCTTCGTTTATGAATCCTACTATTTTGGGGATTATAGGCCCCAGGTTTCTTAATCAGGTTCCTACATCACCTGCCCCACTTGGAAGCTCATTGGTAGTTATAAGTGGGGTTATAAGTCCCCTGATATGGGTTACAAATATAATTATCCTTGTTTTGAAACCCCACTGACAACTACCCATGAACCTTCAAGTACGGGTTCCACTATATTATGATTTGGCATTAAAGTAGTCGCTATCTAGGCACTGTGAGTACCGGATCAAAAAAAATTAAACAGGATCAAAAAAAAACTTACTGCCCCAAGGATCAAAAAAATATTTAAACAGGATCAAAAAAAATATGCGCCCGTACTTCGCGGAAGATACATTCCTGCTGCTCCTTCAGCTGCCAGTACTTCCCGGGAAACGATTTCGTCGTGCTCTCCATTGTGTCTGAGTCTGAATCCCGCCAATAGTAGAGGGCTAGGTCTGCGACCCCACGCGCTCAGGCATGGAATGTCTGCAAATCGGGCCAGGAGGACAGAGGTTGGATTCTGTGCAGAAAGTGTTTCGCAACGCAGAGGAGTTTGCTGCTTCGCCGTCCTCAGCCAAGCGGAAAATCTTCCGTATGACCCTGCCTGAAATGGTGCCTGTGCAATGCCTGCCGACTTGAAGCACACAGACGCCTTTCTTTTACGGGGCGTGCGCCTTCTCCTCCGGCAGCCGCTCTGTGAAACAGGCAGGTGTGCAGAAGGATAAGCCGACCGTGCTTTCACCGGCAGTCAAAGCCCGCATGTTTTTCGGGTTTTTCTTGCACACCAAGCCCTCTTGCCCCCGAGGGGACCTGTGCACGCATCCGTACACACTCACTGCCCACGATTCACAGTTTCGTGGCGGGGTGTTCAGGACCTCGTTGTCGTGGCACAATGGATCTGACATCATCTTGCGAAAGAAGCAACTATCCAGGTTTCGGACACTTCTTCTCGCTGCTTTTGGAGACTCCTGCGCAAAATGTCACACTGTGGCGGTGAAGGGGAGACTGACTGAAACGGAAGACCGCAAGAAGACGTCGACGTCAAGAATTCTAGGAGGAGTTCTGCTTTCGAACGGAGTCTAGGGCTCCGGCGGACTTCGCAGCAGCTGAAGCGCTTGCCTGCACAGCGTGTTTCGGAGAGAGGGCAGTTGTGGCCATTGCGTGAGGACGAGTGAAACATGTATTGAACGCAAAGGCTCACGTCCAGCAATCAAGTTTCAGTTGGAACTGCTGACGCACAAACTGCCATGCTGCTCGGGCCTTTGACGCATGCTCTTCTTCCTCGTCCTGTATAGAACGCAGCACAACGACCGAGCGCGGACACCTATGTCTGCATCAGTTGCCCCGAGGCCTGACTTAACCATATAAGCAGGAACGACATGTGACAAGGGAGGCAACATGTCACAGTGACAGTGTGGCCGTGAACGGGAGATGGATTGAAGCGGAAGACCACAAGAAGACGTCGGTCTCAAGTTTTCTACAAGGAGTTCTGCTTTCGAACGGAGTCTAGGGCTCCGGCGGACTTCGCAGCAGCTGAAGCGCTTGCCTGCACAGCGTGTTTCGGAGAGAGGGCAGCTGTGGCCATTGCGTGAGGACGAGTGAAACATGCATTGCAAAGCAAAGGCTCACGTCGAGCAGTCAAGTTTCAGTTGTGCGAATAGATGCGACGCACCAGGCAACGCATTACCTGCCACTACTGACGCAGAGGCTGCTCGGGCCTGTGGCGGATTCTCTTCTTCCTCGTCCTGTATAGAATAGAACGCAGCACAACGACAGAGTGCGGACACATATGTGTACATCGGGTGCCCCGAGGCCTAAAGTAATCATATAAGCAAGAGACATGTGACAAGGGAGGTAGGGCGAACTGCCTTTGCAAGTGTGACTGCCCCTGCTTTTCGGGGCCTGGCCTCACCTTCCTCCTCATCTGTAGCCTCGTCCGAGCCCTGCGCGCTTGTAGCCTCACAGGCAATATATACTTGCACCAAGGCAAAGGCAATCTGCAAGTCAGAGAAGTCTGCGGAAGTATATCGGCCTCCGAAACCTTGTCGGTGCCATCCTGCACACAAGATGCGGGACAAGCCACATCTGCAAGTCAGAGACGTCTGCGGAAGTATTGCGGCCTCCGAAACCTTGTCCGCGCCATCCTGCGTGCAAGATGCGAGGACAAGCCACATCTGCATGGACACGCCGGAGCTGTGTCAACTCTACCAGGGAAACGGCCTCGTCTTGTGCAGCTGCCTCAAGAGGATCCTGATCAGTGCGAGCAAATGCTGCTTCGCAGTTGACAAGGTCAGGTGTAGTGTAACATTGAACTATTGATGAACATACTCTTGGACAAAATGCGGCCTCAGAACCGTTCTCGCGGACGACCTGCACAGTGGACGATCGGGCAAGCCGTAAGTCGAAGCTTCACAAGGCTCCCGAAATCTCTCCATGTCTCCCGACGGTGCCTCGCTGGGCTTCTGAGCCTGAATTTCACAAACACTGAAAGCCGACTGCTTGTATTTACACCATCCGACCGCATACTGCTGAGGCTCAGGCTTTGGCCGCCGCTTGATGAACTCGCAGCAAAACCCCGGCAGGCACATTGGGGAAAATTGCACGCAAGCCAGGAAAGTCCAAGGTGACGAGGTCTGGCAAACCGATTTGCTCAGCTGTGAACAAGGCCAGGAAGCTGCCGGCGCCGCACCGACTCAGGAGGGCTTTCATGGAAGGATCCGGCTTGGACACGCTGGAGCGAGGCAGAATGCCAGCTGGCGCCGAAACACCGACGCCACAGGGCAAGGCTTCCGGACCTGGCAAGATCATGTCAACTTCTGCCAGGTGCTCGGTAGGCTCGCGGGCTTCTCTTCGAGACGGTAGCTTTGCTTGCGTCAAGGAGACATGCTTCAATTCTGTGAGGGCGAGGTGCGCATGCTCGCAAGAGCCGTGCAGGCAAAAGATGTTGCAGAACGCACAGGCCACATTTAGGTATGGATTCTCACCTTCCGCATCATGACTGTGGCCTCTTTGCCACCAGCGAGCAGCGGCAGGTCCGACGACGACCACGACATACTTTGCAACAGACTTAACGAGAGCTTGCAAATCAAGGGTGTTTTCGCACATGTGCTTCAAAGCATCATCTAAGGAGGCCGGCGACTTTGCTTCAAGAATGGCCAGAAGCGCTTTGGCCGTACCGGCAGGGACGGGTTCCACGTCCTCATCCGGGGTCCGGGACCAAGCACCTGCATCTGGGCTGTAGGAAGCGAGGGTGCGCTTCATGGCGAAGCAGGTCGTGTTGCCGCTTGAGTAGACGTCAAAAGCGCGACATCGGTGATACTGGGAAGCCGACGAGCGCCCTTCCGCAGTAAGCGCAGTAGAATCCCACAGAACGAAACGATCGGGGAAAGGTTCCTGCGGCACATCCGGAAGCGGCGCAGCCTTGGCCTGCAGCTGTTCCAGACGCACTTGTGTGAAGTTGTTCAGCTTCTGCACTACAGTGTCCAAGGAGTTGCGCAGCTTTCCCATGGCCTTCTTCAGCTTGTGTCTGTGCCAAGACTCTTGCGCTTGTGTGCCCGAGGCCGAGCCTGGCTGGCTTCGCTGGAGGCCGGTCCACCAATCCGCGCACCACATGAAGGCGCCTGAAAAATCCAGATCTGCCGGAGCCTGAGCACGGCCCAATTTGGTGAAGTAGTGCTTCTGCATCGCAGCAACAGCCTTCTTTTCAGACGGCTCCTGCACTTCCAAAGCAGCGAACAGCAAACTGCTGATCTTGTGAAAAAGCAACAACGTGGGCACAGATCGCAGCACATACACAGTATGTCGAATGAGAGGCAGGAGTTTTTTGCCAGATGCAGTCAGTGTTTTGTTCAAGGTGCTGAAAATGCCTTTCCTCCAGGCCGCCGCTGTCTGGTCTGCGCTGCTCCCTGCAGTCCTGGTCCTGCGGGCGCACGCGCCGACAAGGTGAGCGAAGTCGCCTACGCGCTGAGAGTTTGGAAAGTTCCGTTTGCGAGCTTTCTCCTCACCTGTATGCCAGTCGGCATGATACTGGCGCGTGGCTTCAACAAGGTCGACACCACTGACCTGCTTGGCGCAATCCACTGTTGCCTTGAAAAGGAGGTCGTAGTTTTCATCCGACTCCTTGTTCGAAATCGCGAACAACAGCGGCGAG